TGTTAATAATAATTATTATAAACAATTTTTATTAATAAATAATTATTTATATACGTGAAATTGACATTACACTATTGAAATAATATAATGAATTAATCATACATGCATTGTTTTTAATTATACTAGGCGTACTAGATTTGTATCTATTATGGTAGAAGTTTTGGTGAAAGAGTTAAACCAGCAAGTTTGAGTAATGCCATTCGACGGGTTAGGGAAAAAATTATAAGAACGAGTTTTTGAATTATGAAAAAAATTGCAGTAGTTTTGAATTATTGCATTTTAAATTTCAGAAATCATGAGTTTTGTTGGCATTAAAAAAGAAATTTTTGAGTTATTTGACAAAAACCAAAAAAATGTCCCAAATTATCTATTTATTGCTAAAGAATGAAATATCATCGAATTAACTAATTCTCATTTTTGAATTATCTAGTTATGCAATAGTTTTTGAGTTATTACATTTTTCAATATACAAAAATTTATAGATCTGGATAAAAAAACTCATACAAAAAATAGGATTTGAAAAAATATTTTTTTTTTGCATTTTAAAATATGTTGTACCATTTTTTTTCATATATTTTAGATATATTATACATTATTTATTTGTTCACAATTTATTAAGTTTTATTTAGTACTAAGTTTATTTTTAATCCAATTCCAAGCTCCTGGTGGTTTTTATAATCTTTATTTTCACATTTTCTTATATTTTTTGAGGGGCAAAAGTTATTGTTAATGTTGACATTTTATAATTATTGCCCATTTTTTTAAACATTTTGGAGCATCTGGGAACAATTTCTGCAAAATAAATCAAATTAATACATTTCACTTTAATTTAAATATAATTATCATATATATTTACTTTGAATCGTTTATGTTCGATTTTTCCAAAAATTCTGGTTTTGGTATTTCTTTTTCAAAAACTCCTGGAATCATAAAACTAAATCCTACAAGTTCTTTTTTTTCACCAAAAGTACTTGGCTATTTTGGGCAATATTGCAATAATCGGTTTTGTTATATAAATAATGAGTTCCTGAAAAAATAAATTTATTTGAAAATTAACTCAAATCTTTTATTATATAAATAAATTGAAACTTTATCGCAAAATAGCTTAAGGCTTAGAATTATTTGAATTAAATTAATACTCTGTTTGATATTTTTTCATTTATTTATTTATTCATTTGTCAATTAATTTATTTACCTTTCTGGTCTCACAATTTTGCTTAAACCATCCATTTCCTCCTAATTTTTCCTCAGAAGTTGGAACATCTAAATTTTCTTTAGAATTTTTTGATTTATTACTCTAAAACTGTCTCCAATGGAATCAACTGGCATTCCTCTTCCAGGATCTTTAATATGATCTAAAAATAAAAAATAGATTTAAGCACAAATTTACCAAATTTAAATTGTTTATAATAAAATAGAAACAAATATCAAGCCCAAAAATATCCTAAGTAGTTCTCCTTAAACAAATGTAAATTCTCATAACTAGCCTGGATGTTCATATTTTTTATATGAAATTTTGTCTATAAATTTATTTTATTAATATATTTTGTTTATAACAATATATTTTAAATAATTTACCTTCATTAGCAACATATATCTCCAAGGAATAATAAGTTTTATTATTTATTTTTTGATTTTTGAACCAAGGATTGTTGTAAAATTGATTCAAGTTGACATACAAATTATCTGTTGCCTGTATCTGTAATAAATAAATAAATAAATAAACAGATAATTAGGTAAATAAACAAATTACTGAATAAACGAATGAATGAATAAATAAATAAATTAATTAATTAATAATGGTGCACATATTTTTTTTCTTACCGATATTAAAAATCCAACAATTCTTTCATTAGTATCATGTAAAGTGCATAAAGTTTTGTCTTTGCCTTCTTCAGGGCAAAAAGCTTTAACATTTTCAGGCAATTTAAAATCAGAAATTTTTTTCCAACCTTTTATTTGAGCTTTTTGCCCAGTTTTTGGCAAATAATCCAAACTTGCATATGGGTATTTAAATACTGAAAAATAATAATAATCAACTTTAGTAACAATAGATTTAAAACTTAATTTAAAAAAAAAAAAACGAATATGGTGTACCTCAAGGAACAGTTGTAGGACCACTATTATATTTATTATATAAAAACTATTAAAAAATACTCTAAATTTTAACAATTTAGGGAAGTCAATATTATAAACTATTTGTAAAAATATTACTAGTAATAATATGAATAGATAAGTATAAATTTGTATTTTTTATTATAAAAAATTATATTTACCCATTGGTTCAGTCCAACTCTGCACTAGCTTATTGAAATCTGAAAACAAATTTTAATTTAAAAGTTGTTAACATTTTTAATATCAAAAATAGAATGTATAAACAATTTTTCTTAAATAATTACATGCATAAACAGCATTTGCACTAAAAAGCACCAAAACCCAATAAATTTTGCACAAAATCATATTTTCAACACTTTTGCACTAAAAAGCATACCACAAAACTAAATTAATATATATTACTATCAATATTTATTATCAAATTCGCAGAAATATTACCAAATATCAATTTTTGCACAAATATTTATCCAATAATATTATTTCTCGATAATATTTACATAAGAAGGAACACCTGTACAAATATTGTCTTGGTGAGAATCAGGAAATATTTTACAAGAAGCAAATTAAATATAAAAAATTGTTTTGTAATTTAAAAATTTGGAAAATAAATATTTGTATGTTTATTTTATAACGACGGTTATGGAAAATTAAATAAACGTCATGGTATTTACCAGTATTTTGTACTTAAAGGTAATTGTTTGCAAGGATCTTAGTGCTAGAGTTAAACCAGCAAATTGTACAACCATTTGACGGATTTTAGATAATGTAGTTGGAACTGGTTTTTGAATTATCTAAATATCTTATCTGATTCACGAGATATTGCATTTTGAAATTTCAAGATTTTTATAGTTCTTGACTGTTGTACGTAAGGAATTTTATTGAAAAATTGTTGCAAGTTCAAAAATTTTCAAAGCGCCACAAAAGAGTATTTAGTAAAAATTTAATACTACAAAGTATGTATTAGCATATTTACTATGAGACTAAATTTTAAAATTTAAAAAAATATATCTATTTTATGAGTTATTAAATATTATCTGAGCAAAGTACATATTTAGAGCCAGCAGCGTAAGAGAAAACTTGCAATTTAGTATAAATCTCTTAGTAAAGGACTATTTGTTATTTTGGATATTAATTAATTAAATTACTTTTTATTTAAGAAAATCAATTGAAATATATATATATATATATATATATATTATATATATATATATACTCGTATATATATATAAAGTGTGGGTTTTCTACAAAGGCGATAATTATCAATTAAAATTAATTAAATTGAATCAATTATTTAATTGAACTTACTTGAACTTTTGTGAACATTTTATGGACTGAATAGACTTTTGTAAATTTATAAATATTTTACATCATAGAGCAATATTTATTTATATTTATATTTACGTATATTTGAAATAATTTAAATTTGTGGTCACAATTAAATGTTTTGTTAGAAATTGGTAAAATTTAAGTCAAATTTATACTGAAATAAAAATATTCTTAGTGAAGGAGTTAAAACAGCAAATCGAGAATATGCTCATTGAATGGCTTTCAAAAAGTGTAATTAGAAAGACTTTTTAAATCATTAAATTATCTCGAAACGTTTCCGAGATATTGCTTTTTAAAGTTTTACAATTTTGCTAAACTTTTATAGACAATTTAGTCGGGAGTATTAAAAATTATTAAGGATAAAATAAAGTTCGGCTTGTAAGGAAAACTTTGTAAATTATATATATATATATATATATATATATACCTATATATATATATATATATACATATACCTATATATCTTTTCCATCCCTGTTCCAGACAAAAGCCAATTTAGCAAAATTAATTTCGTGCCAAATTTTAAATAAATTGGCCAATTAAGACATAATTAATGAGTCAGAAAGCGAGAACTCTCTTTTAGATGTCTGCAAATGATATTTAAAACAAAGATAATAAAACACAGACCTTTTAGAAAATAAATAGACCGATAAATTAGGGAAAATACACACCTGGTTCCGTAAGAAATAAGAAATTAATAGTTGTAGTAATATTATTATGACAATATATTATTTGTACGATATAGCCTGTAACTTTTGACAGGATTGTCCAAAATTAATCAAATATTCGGCAAATTTATTCAAAATTGAATTATCTACAACATTTTCTAATATTTAAACATCCTACAACAACTCGATGTACTTGAAAAATGTGCTTGAATATAGTATTGCAAATAATCCCATTTAGTAACAATTTATTGGTGTGGTGATTCATTATATCTCTTATAACTTTTGAACGGCTTGTTTAAAATTGACCAAATATTCGGCAAATTTATTCAAAATTGAATTATCTACAACATTTTCTAACATCACATTGCTCTACAGCAATTCTGTATACTTTAAAATTGTGATTGAAAATAGTGTTACAAATAATCGAATTTAGTAACAATTTATTGGTGTGGTGATTTATTATATCACTTGTAACTTTTTAATGGCTTTTCTAAAATTGACCAAATATATGGCAAATTTATTCAAAATTGAATTATCTACAACATTTTCTAACATCACATTGCTATACAGCAACTCTGTATACTTTAAAATTGCGATTGATAATAGCATTTGTTTAAAACTAATTAGTGGATTTATTTAGTAACAATTTATTGGTGTGGTGATTTATTCCATCTCTTGTAACTTTTGAACAGTTTGTCCAAAATTGACCAAATATTCGGCAAGTTTATTCAAAATTAAATAATCTACAACGTTATCTAACATCACATTGCTCTACATCAACTCTGTGTACTTTAAAATTGTGCTTGAAAATAGTGTTGCGAATAATCGCATTTACTAACAATTTGTTGGTATGGTGATTTATTATATTTCTTGTAACTTTTGAACGGTTTGTCCAAAATTAATCAAATATTCGGCGAATTTATTCAAAATTAAATAATCTACAACATTTTCTTGCATTTGAACATCCTACAACAACTCCGTGTTCTTGAAAAATGTGCTTAAAAATAGTGTTGCAAATTATTGCATTTAGTAACAATTTAATGGTGTGGTGATTTATTAAATCTCTTATAACTTTTGAACGGCTTTTCTAAAATTGACCAAATATTCGGCAAATTTATTCAAAATTGAATTATCTACAACATTTTCTAACATCACATTGCTCTACAGCAACTCTACGTACTTTAAAATTGTGCTTGAATATAGTGTTGCAAATAATTACATTTAGTAACAATTTATTGGTGTGGTGATTTATTATATTTCTTATAACTTTTGAACGGCTTTTCCAAAATTAATCAAATATTCGGCAAATTTATTCAAAATTGAATTATCTACAACATTTTCTAACATCACATTGCTCTACAGGAATTCTATATACTTTAAAATTGTGTTTGAAAATAGTGTAGCAAATAATCGCATTTAGTAACAATTTATTGGTGTGGTGATTTATTCTATCACTTATAACTTTTGAACGGCTTTTCCAAAATTGACCAAATATTCGGCAAATTTGTTCGAAATTAAATAATCTACAACATTTTTTAACATCACATGGCTCTACAGCAATTCTGTATACTTTAAAATTGCGATTGAAAATAATATTGTTGGCAATAGCATTTGTTTAAAACTTATTGGTGCACTTATTTATTCCATCTCTTGTAACTTTTGAACGTGTGGTGATTTATTATATTTCTTATAACTTTTGAATGGTTTGTTTAAAATTGATCAAATATTCGGCAAATTTGTTCAAAATTGAATTATCTACAACATTTTCTAATATCGCAACTTCCTACAGCAACTCAGTATACTTTAAAACTGTGATTAAAAATAGTGCTCTGAATAATGTTATTAACTTATGGATGCATTTATTTATTATGTCTCTTATAACTTTTGATAGGTTTGTCCAAAATTAATCAAATATATGGCAAATTTATCCAAAATTGAATTATCTACAACATTGTCTAACACCACAAGACCCTACAGCAACTCGGTATACTCAAAAAACGCCATAGAAAACTCCTATTTTCTTATATTTCTTATATTTTTTTGCACTGAAGAATTCCGAAATTTCTGCACCCGAAACGTGTGCACTATTGTTTAGTTAGTTTTAGTTGAAATTTGTTTGGGTAATAAAAAGCATATGCGGACGCCAACGTTGTCGGCTAAAGTAAATATTTACTGTTTTAGTTTCGGTAAAGTAAAGTTTGTCTATTTAGAATATTTTGGAGCTCACTTATTTATTTATTAGTTGAAGTTAAGAGGTCATAGGCATTGTAATAAATTTATTTATATATATATATATATATATATATTTATATAAATTACAATCTAGTACAAATGCAGTACGAATTTCTTACCTAGAACTTGCCTTTACGTAGCGTTTCTGAAAAATATACTTTGTTCAAGTAATCCTCGATAACTCATTCTATGATTTTTTTTTTTTTAGAAATCGAAAATTTATTTGTTTATTACATATATTGATATATACGCACTATCAATTAATATTTTTAATCTTAATATTTGTGCCTTGTACATAACTTTGAAAACAGTCAAATTTTTAGAATTTTTCTTGTTGGCTTCAAAAAATCGATAGCAACTTATAAAAATTAACAAATCCTAAAATGCAATATCTTGAAAACGCTTGGAGATTTTTGAATAATTTAAAAAGTCATTTATATAACATTTTTATTTTGCCATCGAACTGTGATACTCCTGATTTGTTGCTTTAACTCTTTCACTGAGAATGTAACTTAAATTTGCATACTCATATAGGAAACATGAAATATCACAATCTGTAGTAATAAATTAACTATAAAAACATGTTAAATAACAATATATAAACTATCGACTTGCATTGTTAACTATTTCATCCTTGAAATTTATATAAGTAGAAAGTATATCCTTGATGAATTAGTGAAAATTGGAAATCGAGATTACTATTCGATGGCAAATTAAAAATGTTTTTAGAACAACTTTTTGAATCATCAAAATATTTGCAATAGTTTTTATAAAATTGCATTTTTACACTTTACAAATTTTATAAGTTGCAAAAAATCAATATGGATCCTGCGAAATCAAAATGTTTAAAAATGCAATATCTCAGGAACCCTTTGAGATATTTTAGAAATTTAAAAAGTCGTTTATATAACACTTTTAATTTGCCATCGAACTGTCATACTCCTGATTTGCTGGTTTAACACTTGCACTGAGAACAAAATTTACGAGTACTTAATCCTTAAACCAAATCATAGACAATAAGGAGTTACAACTTCAAAATGTACCAAAAAATTATATTTAACCCCAGATTACTTAAAACCAAAAGATTGGTACAAATAATTAGTTTTTATTGTGTTTTTTGGACTAAAATACAAAATG